AACTGACTCTGGTAATATGGCAAAGCAAGGCTCTTTAACACCTCCCAAAAATCACACTGGTTCACCAACAGTTGATCCAAATCAAGAAATGATTTACCCAAGAAAGAATTCAGGAGATGAGTTATTAAGCTAGTCAGGGAGGCACCAGAGAAAGGCAAAGCCCAATACAAGGAAATTCAAAAAACAATACAAGAAATGAAGGGAGAAATATTCAAGGAAATAGCTGAAAGAATAATAAAAAATTCAGGAAACACTGGACACACTTGCAGAAATGGAAAATGCCTGGAAAATCTCAGCAATAGAATTGAACAAGTAGAAGAAATTTGGACCTTGAAGACAAGATCTTTGAATTAACCCAATCCAACAAAGACAAAGAAAAAAGAATAGGAAAATATGAACAAAGCTTCCAAGAAATCCAAGATTGTGTTAAATAAGCAAACCTAAGAATAATAGATGTTCCTAAGAAAGAAGAGAATTCTAGAAGCTTGGAAAACATATTGGGGGGAAAGTTCTTTGGCCTTGCTAGAGACCTAGATATTTAAATACAGGAAGCACAAAGAATGCCTGGGAAATTCGTTGCAAAATTGTCACCTAGCTACATTGCCATGAGGTTATCCAAAGTTAAGATGAAGGAAAAGAATCTTAAGAGCTGTGAGACAGAAGCACCGGAAAACCTATCAGATTAACAGCAGTTTTCTCAGAAGAAATCCTACAAGCAAGAAGGGATTGTGGCCCTATCTTCAGCTTCGTCAAACAAAACAATTACTAGCTAAGAATTTGGTGTCAAGGAAAACTAAGCATTATATATGAAGGAAAGATACAATCTTTTTCACATAATCAAATGCTAAGAGAAGTCACCACTGAAAAGCCACCACTACAAGAACTGCTGAAAGGAGCTCTAAATCTTGAAACAAATCCTGGCAACTCATCAGAGCAGAACATCCTTAAAGCATAAATCATATGGGACCTCTAAAACAGTAACACAAGTTAAAAAGAAAAACAAACAAAAAAAAAGTACACAGGCAACAAATAGTACAATGAATGCAATGGTACCCACCTAACATGTAAGGACTCACATAGAGTAAAGGGGCGGAGAAAAGCATTTTATGCAAAAGGACACCAAAAGTAAACAGGGGTAGTTATTCTTAAACAAAACAAACTTTAAAGTAACAGCAGTTAAGAGAGACAAAGAGGGACATTTTATAATGGTAAAAGGCCTTGTCCAACAGGAAAATATCTCAGTCCTAAACATATATGCACCTAACACTGGAGCTCCCAAACTTATAAAACAAATACTAATAGACCTAAGCAATGAAGTAGACAGCAACACAATAGTAGTGGGGACTTCAGTACTCCACTGACAGCACTACACAGGTCATCAAGACAGAAAGTCAGCAAAGAAACAATGGATTTAAACTATACCTTAGAACAAATGGACCTAAATATATGTAGAACATTTCATCCAACAACCACAGAATACACATTCTATTCTACAACACATGGAACTTTCTCCAAGATAGTTCATATTATAGAACATGAAATGAAGAAAATTTAAATCATATCAAGCACTCTCTCAGACCACAGTGGAATAAAACTGGAAATCAGCTTCAAAAGGAGCCTTCAAAACCATGCAAATACATGAAAGTTAAATAACGTTTTCCTGAATGAGCATTGGGTGAAAAACAAAATCAAGATGGAAATTAAAAAATTCTTCAAACTGAACAACAATAATGACACAATCTATCAAAATCTCTGAGGTACAGCAAAGGTGGTGCTAAGAGGAAACTTCATAGCCCTAAGCAGCTACATCAGTAAGACTGAAAAAGCACAAATGGACAATCTAAGGTCACACTTCAAGGAACTAGAGAAAAAAGAACAAACCAAATCCAAACACAGCAAAATAAAGGAACTAAGCAAGATCAGAGCAGAACTAAATGAAATTGAAATGAACAAACAAAATACAAAGGATAAATGAAACAGAAACCTGGCTCTCTGAAAAAAATAAATAAAATGATTGTAAGACTAAACAAAGTAAGAGAAAATTCAAGTAACCTCATCATGAAATGAAACAGGAGGTATTACATCTGACACCACTGAAATACAAAAGTTTATTCAAGGCTACTATGAGCACCTTTACACACACAAACTAGAAAACCTAGAAGAGATGGATAAATTCCTGGAAAAATGCAACCCATCTTAGCTTAAATCAGGAAGGATTAGATACCCTGAACAGACCAATAACAAAACAGTGAAATTGAAATGGTAATTTAAAAATTACCAACAGAAAAAGTCCAGGACCAGATGGATTCACAGCAGAATTCTACCAGGCATTCAAAGAATTGGTACCAATCCTTTGACACTATTCTACAAGATAGAGAAAGAAGGAACTCTCTGTAATTCATTCAGTGGAGCCAGCATCACTCTAATACCAAAACCAGAAAAGGACATAATCAAAAAAGAAAACTACAGACTGATATCCTTGATGAAAATAGATGCTAAAATCCTTAACAAAAATACTAGCTAACTGAATCCAACAACATATCAAAAAGATAATCCACCATGATCAAGTAGGTTTTATACCAGGGATACAGGGATGGTTTAACATACAAGTTAATAAATGTGATACACCACATAAACAGAATTAAAAATAAAAATTGCACGATCATATCAATAGATGCAGAAAAAGCATTCAACAAAATCCAGCATCTCTTTATGATTAAAACTCTCAGCAAAATCAGCATATACTTCAAGGAATATACCTCAATGTAATAAAAGCCATCTATGGCAAACCCATGGCCAATATTATAGTAAATGGGGAAAAGTTGAAAGCATTCCCTCTGAGAACTGGAACAAGACAAGGATGCCCACTTTCACCACTCCTCCTCAACATAGTACTGGAAGTCCTAGCCAGAGAAATCAGACAGGAGAAAGAAAGGGCATTCAAATTGGTAAAGAGAAAGTGAAACTGTCACTGTTTGCTGATGATATGATCATTTACCTTGGAAACCCTAAAGACTCCTCCAGAAAGCTCCTAGAACTGATAAAATAATTCACCAGAGTTTCCAGATACAAAATTAATATACCTTTTCTATACACCAACAGTGACCAAGTGGAGAAGCAAATCAAGAACTCAACCCCTTTTACAATAGCTGCTGAAAAAATAAAAGACTTAGGAATATACCAAACCAAGGAGTCAAAAGACCAGGGAAAACTGCAACACACTGCTGAAAGAAATCATAGATGACATCAACAAATGGAAAGACATCCCATACTCATGGATGGGTAGAATAAATATTGTGAAAATGACCGTAATTCCAAAAGCAATCTACAAATTTAATGGAATGCCCATCAAAATTCCACCATCTTTCTCCATAGAATTAGAAAAAACATTCTAAAATTCATATGGAACCAAAAAGAGCCTGCATATCCAAAGCAAGTCTAAACAAAAAGAACAAATCTAGAGGCATCACACTACCTGATTTCAAACTATACTGTAAGGCCATAGTCACCAAATCAGTATGGTACTGCTGTAAAAATAGGGCACCAATGGAATATTCTCTATTCTCTATTGAAGACAGAGAAAAAAGTTAAATGACAATGAGATATCACAGAGAAATTCTTTGGTATATTAAGCAAACAACTGGCACCATTCCTTAAAAATGTCAGTGTTGTAGATCATAAATGTATATTTCTGAGTATACTCTTTTAGACCATGGGAACCCAATGGTCCCACATCAACAACTTAAAATAGAATTTTCTATTAGAATAGAGAACCAAGAAATAAACCCAAATACAACCAACTGAACTTTGACAATACAAACAAAAATTTAGAGAGGGGAAGGACAGCCTTTTCAATAAACAGTGCTGGGATAATTGGCTTGCTGTATGTAGGAGAATGATACTGGATCCTCATCTCTTACCTTATACAAAAATCAACCCAAGATGGATGAAGGACTTAAATCTAAGACCTGAAGCTATAAAAATTCTAGAAAATAACATTGGAAAAATCCTTCTGGACATTGACTTAGGCAAGGATTTCATGACCAAGAACCCAAAAGCAAATGGAATAAAAACAAAGATAAATAGTTGGGATTTAATTAAACTAAAGAGCTTTCGCATGGCAAAAGGAGTATTCAGCAGAGTAAACATACAGCCCACAGAGAGGGAGAAAATCTTCACAATCTATACATCTGATAAAGACTAATATCCAGAATCTACAACAAACTCTAGTCAGAAAAAAACAACCCCATCAAAAAGTGAGCTAAGGATATGAATACACAATTCTCAAAAAAAGATATACTAGCAGCCAAAAAACATATGAAAACATGCTCAGCATTGCTAATGATTAGGGAAATGCCAATCAAAACCACAATGTGATACCACCTTACTTCTGCAAGAATGACCATAATTAAAAAATAAAAAAACAGTAGATGTTGGCATGGATGCAGTGATCAAGGAACACTTTTACACTGCTGGTGGGAATGTAAACTAGTACAGCCACTATGGAAAACAGTGTTGAGATTCCTTAGAGAACTAAAAGTAGAACTACCATTTGATCCAGCAATCCCACTACTGGATATCTACCCAGAGGAAAAGAAGTCATTATTCAAAAAAGACACTTGTACACACATGTTTATAGCAGCACAGTTTACAATTCCAAAATCGTGGAACCAACCCAAATGCCCATCAATCAACGAGTGTATAATTGATATCTATATATAGATATACATATCGATATATATACATATATACATATATATACATATATGTATATATATAGATACCAATATAGATATCCACATATATACACACATAATAGATATATAGATATACATATAAATATGCATATATGTATATCTATAGATATCGATATAGATATCCATATATGTGTGTATATATATATATATATACATATACACATATATGGATATTCCATTGTGTGTGTGTGTGTATATTATATATATGTGTGTGTGTATGTATATATGTGTGTGTGTATATATATACACACACACACACACACGATAGAATACTACTCAGCCATAAAAACGTATGGATTAAACGTATTTTCAGTGACCTGAATGAGATTGAGACTATTATTCTAAGTGAAATAACTCAGGAATGGAAAACCAAGCATCATATGTTCTCACTGATATGTGGGAGCTTAGCTATGAGGATGCAAAGGCATAAAAATGATACAGTGGACTTTGGGAACTTGGGAATGGTGTGGAAGGTGTTGAGGGAGAAAAGGCTACAAATATGGAGTAGTATATACTGCGTGGGGGATGTGGGCACCAAAGTCTCACAAATCACCGCTAAAGAACTCACTCATGTAACCAAATACCACCTATAGCCCAATAACTTATGGAAAAATTAAAAAATTCCATGCAAACTTAAAAAAAAAGAAAAATCCCAAGGACTTTTTACCATTATGTTTTCACAAAAGAAAACATTAAAGGAGGTTTTTCATTCAAAATAAAGAGGGATTCCAGAAGCAGTTTTGGAAATTGGAGAATAAAGAAAAACAGAATGGATGAATGCATGCATAGATCTAAATTTATTTGGACTGTATACAAGAAAAATAACATTACTATATTCTGTGTTCTAAAACACATATAATTAAAATATATGAAAAATTCACATAAATCAGGAGATAAGTAAATTGAATAAAAATGTTTTAAGTTCCCTTAATTGTTCAGAAAATTTACAGAATATTTTTGTTAATAGATTAAGGGGTGCATTATTGATGGTTGATCCCCAATCAGTACATTGAAACACTAACTCCCTGTGTGATAATATTAAGAGGTAGGGCCTTTGGGGAGCCTAATTAAATTAGATGAGATTATGAAGGTGCACTTCCCATGATGAGACTAGTACCCTAAAGAAATGGAGACACCAGAGCTTCCTGTTGTCCCACCGTGTGCAAATACAGCAAGAAGACAGCCATCTGCAAGCCAAGAGGAGAATCCTTACCAGAACTCAACCTTGCTGGCACCCTGACCTCTAGCTTCCCACCCTGTGAGAAGTAAGTGTTTGTTTTTTCAGCTACCCAATCTATGATATCCACTTTAACAGATTTTTAACTGATGAAAAATTAACACGTTCTCTGCTTTTTAAGAAGGAACTTATTTAAGAAGGAAGTAATTCATTCCCTTTTCAAGAGGTAAATTTATGTTTTTGGCAAATTTATACATCATTAGAAACACTTTAAAATATTTAATCAAAGATGTTATTTACTGAAGATCAAAATTATATAAGTTGTTGGGGGAACAGGATATTTACATAGTGCAAAAGGACTAGTGGACAGAATACTTGCCCATTGTAAATAGAAAACACAACTTTATATTGGAGAGGACTGGTGGTCATATTAACCAAGGGATCAAATTGGGATTCACTACTTTTGGGATAGATGGACACAATGTGTACCTCCTGTTGGAATACATGGCATCACCTGTGAAAGATTTTGCCAGAGGTGTTTAACCTGAAGGTAATGAAGTGTTTATACCAAATTTCATTTTACCAAAAATATTGAAGATTGAGAAAAAGTTAAATGACAATGGGATATCACAGAAAAAATTATTTGGTATGTTAAGCAAAACAACTGGCGCCATTTCTTAAAAATGTTGATGTTGTAGATCATAGACTCATATTTCTGAGTGTAATCTTAGACCATGGGAGCCCAATGCTCCCACGTCAACAACTTTAAAAAATTCAAAAATTATGTTTTTGAAGAAATTGGAAAGTTGTTAAAACAGTGGATATTGAAACAATTGGAATTCCAGAAAGGGTGACCTTGTAATTGCCATTTTGTTCCCTGAGGGTTATTCACTGATTCTGGTCATGAACTGATCATGAGGTTTGTCTCACACAAAGAGACTCTATTAAGTAAATAGGACATAAACAAAACTTTTAACATCTCTTGCCTGAGATGGAACAACAGATTGGAAAAATGAGCTGCTTTATGTAGATACAATATTAGTTAATGATATGTCAAGCAGACAAAAAAGTACAGAATATTTTAGCATGTTTCATAAATGCAATAAAATTCTTACTTGAAAACACTATTTTTCTTCCATGTTCTTTGTCATTTCAAGAATGTAATATAAGTATAATCATAACCTTCCCCAGTGGTAGAGGTGGGGCCTTGTGGAAAGTGGGCCATGGGGGAAAGATTCCTTGTGAATGGATTTGTTATGCCTTGGCAGCTTCCATGTGGTGGTGTCTGCAGGTGTGCAGAATGCAAGCATGTGCAAGAATGGTGGAGACTTGGTAGCTTCCACCTAGATTTCAGAGGATGTATTAGAAAGTCTGAATGTAAGATAGCCTCTACTGTGCCTCTTCACAGCCTGTCTGTGGAGGGGTTCCAATCCCACATTTTCATTTCCCTGAGGAGCCAACACACAGAGTTCCCACTAGGGCACTGCCTAGTGAAGCTGTGGGAAGAGGATCACTTCCCTTTAGGCTTGAGAATAATTAAGCACCAGCAACTTGCATCCTGAGCCTGGAAAAGCTGCAGGCACTCAATTCTAACCCTGTGGTGAGAGCAACCATAAGGGCTCCACCCTGTAAAGCCATAGGAACAGAGCTGCCCAAGGCTTTGGTAACTCACCTTTTGCACCAGAGTGCTCTGGATGTGGGACATAGAGTCAAGGATTCTATTAGAGCTTTAAAGTTTAATGTCTGCCCTGCTGAGTTTGGGACCTTTGTGGGACCTATTGCCCCTTTTATTTGGCCAATTTCTCCCTTTTTGAATGGGAATGCTTACCCAATGCCTGTACTACCATTGTATCATGGGAGTAAAGAACTGAAATACCTGGTTTTTTACTTTACAAACTCATAGATGGAAGTAACTTGCCTCGAATCTCAGATGAGACTGGACTTTGGACTTTTGAGTTGATGCTGGAATGAGTTAAAACTTGGGGACTATTGGGAGTAGTCCCCCGCAGTGTGAGTTTGCACTGTGAAAAAGGCATGAGATTTGGGGAGGCCGGGGGTGGAATAATACAGTTTGGATGTTTGTCCCCTCCAAATCTCATGCTGAAATTTGATCACCAGTGTTGGAGGTGAAGCCCAGTGGAAGATGTTTCGGTCATGGGGGTGGATCCCTTGTGAATGCCTTGGTTCAATCCTTGCGATAATCCGTGAGTTTTCACTCTATTAGTCAGCACAAGATCTGATTATAGAAAAGAGCCTTGCCCCTCCTCACAACTCTCTTACTCCTTCACTTGACACGTGACATGCCTGCTTCCCCTTCACCTTTCACCATAAGTGGAGTCTTCTGAGGTCCTGACAGAAGCAGATGTTGATACATGCTTGTGCAGCCTGCAGAACCATAGCCAAATAAACCTATTTCATTTATAAATTACCTAGTTTCAAGCACACCTTTATAGTATAAGCCCAAAATATCTGACACAGGCCTCATTCAATTTAGAAAGTTTATTTTACTAAGGTTAAGGACACCTCTATGACACAGCCTCAGGAGGCCCTCACAACATGTGCCCAAATGTTCAGGATACAGCTTGCTTTTAAATATTTTGGGAGACATAATACATCAATCAATATGTGTAGGATTTACATTGGTTCAATCTTTACATATTTCATCCATGTTATCCATCTCTTTTATTCTATTTACCATGTTTATAATCTTTATTTTATAGTTCTTATTTTCAACATTTTTATCAACTGTGTATCTATTTATATTGTCTATTTTTTTCTGAACTGTTAGTAACATTGTCTTTTTTCTTAGAATGTCTTGTATTTTTTTTTTTTTTTTTGGAATGGAGTCTCATTCTGTTGCTTGGGCTGGAGTGCCATGGCATGATCTCAGCTCACTGCAACCTCCGCCTCCTGGGTTTAAGCGATTCTCCTGCCTCAGCCTCCCGAGTAGCTGGGATTACAGGCACCTGCCACCACACCCGGCTAATTTTCTGCATTTTTAGTAGATACGTGGTTTCAATATGTTGGCCAGCCTAGTCTCCAACTCCTGACCTTGTGATCCGCCCACCTCGGCCTCCCAAAGTGTTGGATTGCAGGCTTGGGCCACTGCGCCCTGCCATCTTTAATTTTTAAATGGATATTGGAGATAATATGTAAGGAATTACAATTTTAGAACACTTTATTATCTGAGGAAGTAACGCTGTATCTTTTAACACTTACCTCTCATTTCCTTAACCCCCACTTCAGCCTTATGTAACTATTAATTTACTTTCTGTCTCTATAGATTTATTTATTCTGGACTTTTATATGAGTTCAATTATACAGTGTGTGGTGTTTTCTGAATGGCTTCTTTGCCTTAGCATAATATTTCAAAGTTTATTTATGTAGTATCCATCAGTACTTCTTTCCTTTTTATGGCTGAATAATTGATTGTATGGTTATAAATTATACCACTTCTTTTTAAATTTATTCATCCCTTCAGGGACATTTGGGTTATTTCTACCTTTTAGATATAATGAATAATAGTACTGTAAACATTTGTGTATAAGTTTCTATGTGGATATATGTTTTAATTTTTCTGGAAGACTTACCTAAGAGAGGAACTACTAGATGATATGGTAAACTCTATATTAATTATTTGATGAAAAGTAAGACTGTCTTCCAAGTCAGCTAGACCATTTTAGATTCTGTAGTGTGTGAACATTCTGCTACCTCCATGTGCCCACCAACACTTGTTAACTGACTTTAAAAAAATAATAGACTATTTTTAGAGTGGTTATAAGTTCACAACAAAATTGGGTGGTAAGTACAGATATTTCCCATATACTCCCTGTCATCACACCTGTAGAGCTTGCCCTGCTATTTATCAACACCTCTAACCAGAATGGTACCTATGTTACAATTGATGAACCTACATTGACACATCATTACTACTTAAAGTCCATAGCTTACATTAGGTTTCACTTTTGGTATTCATTTGGTGGGTTTTGACAAATGCATGACATGTATCTATCATTATAATACCATAGAGCCGTGGTCCTCAACCTTTTTGGCACCAGGGACTGGTTTCGTGGAAGACAGTTTTTCTGTGGACTAGGGTGGGGGATGGTTTCAGGATGAAACTGTTCTACCTATGCTCATCAGGCATTAGTTAGATTCTCATAAGGAACATGCAGCATAGATCCCTCAGATGTGCAGTTCACAAAGGATTCACACTCCTATGAGAATCTAACATCACCACTGATCTGGCAGGAGGTGGAGTCCAGGCAGTAATGCACCCCAGCTGCTCACCTCTTGCTCTGTGGTCTGGTTCCTAAGAGGCCATGGACAAGTACCAGTTTGTGTCCTGTGGGTTGTGGACCCTTGCCATAGAGACTACTTTTTCAGCCCTAAATAGTCTCTGTTCTGTCTATTCATTGCCCCCTTGCCTCTAAACCATGGCAACCACTCAACTTTTTACTGTCTCCATAATTTTGCCTTTTCCAGAGTGTCATATATTTGAAATCATATACTGTGTAGACTTTTCAGATCAGCTTCTCTCAGTAATATGCTTTTAAGGTTACTCTTCTCTTGTCATGGCTTGCTTCCTCATTTCTCTTTAGAAATGAATAATATTTTATTGTGTGGATGTACTAGAGTTTACCATTTTATCTACTGAAGGACATCATGTTACCCTTCAAAATTTGGCAATTATAAATAAAATGGCTGTAAACATACATGTGGATGTTTTTGTGTACACATGGTTTTCGATTCCTTTAGGTAAAAACCAAAAAGCAGAGTAGCTAAATTTTATGTTCAAAGTATGTTTACTTTTAGAAGACCCTGCTAAATTATCTTTTAAATTGGCTGTACCATTTTCCATTTCCACTAGCAGTGAATGGGAGTTCTCGTTGGTTCACATTCCCACAGTATTTTGATGCTGTCGGTGTTTTTGGATTTGGTCATTCTAATAGTTGTGTAGTAGTAGTGGAATCTCAACATTTTAATTTGTAATTTACTAAAGACACATGATGTCAAGCATCTTTTCATATGGTTTTTCTGCTATGCGTATTTTCTCTGATGTGCTGTTTCTTTAGGTCTTTCGTCCATTTTTTTTTTAACCAGGTTGTTTTATTATTGTGTTAAAATTAGAGTTCATTGTGTATTTGTAGAAACAATAGATTTCAAGACAAAAAGTATAAAAAGAGACAAAGAAGGTTATTATGTATTGATAAAGGGATTAATTCAGCAAGAAAATGTAACAGTTATGAATATATATGCACCCAACACTGTAGCACCCAGACATATAAAGCAAACATTATTAGACACCATGAGAGAGAGAGAGAGTCTAATACAATAGTAGCTGAAGACTTCAGCACCCCACTTTCAGCATGAGACAGATCATCCAGACAGAAAATAAAGAAATATCTGAATTAATATGCACTATCAAGTAAATGGGCATGATATATATGTACAGAACATTTTTTTTTATTAGCTACCAAGGACATTTTTTCCCTCAGCACAGGAATCATTTTCAAAGATTGAACATAGGTCACAAAGGAAGTCTTAAAAATTCAAAAAATGGAAATAACATCAAGCATCTTCTCTGACAAGAGTGGAATAAATCTAAAAATATGAGACATTTCAGAAAATATACAAACACATGGAAATTAAACAGTGTACTACTGGGTCAATGAAATTAAGAAGAAAATTGAAAACTTTCTTGAAACAAATGATAATGGAAACACAACATACCAAAACTTATGGAATACAGCAAAAAAGTACTAAGTGGAACTTTATTTTTTTATTTTTTTTCTCCATTTATTTATTTTATTGCATTTTAGGTTTGGGGGTACATGTGAAGAACATGCAAGATTGTTGCATAGGTACACACGTGGCAGTGTGATTTGCTGCCTTCCTCCCCATCACCTACATCTGGCATCTCTCCCCTTGCTATCTCTCCACAACTCCCCACCCACCACCATCCCTCCCCTATTTCCCCCCAACTGACCTCAGTGTGTAGTGCTCCCCTCCCTGTGTCCATGTGTTCTTATTGTTCAACACCCGCCTATGAGTGAGAACATGCGGTGTTTGATCTTCTGCTCTTCTGTCAGTTTGCTGAGAATGATGGTTTCCAGGTTCATCCATGTCCCTACAAAGGACCTAAACTCATCGTTTTTGATGGCTGCATAATATTCCATGGTGTATATGTGCCACATTTTCCCTGTCCAATCTATCATCGATGGGCATTTGGGTTGGTTCCAGGTCTTTGCTATTGTAAACAGTGCTGCAATGAACATTCGTGTGCACGTGTCCTTATAGTAGAACGATTTATAATCCTTTGGATATATACCCAGTAATGGGATTGCTGGGTCAAATGGAATTTCTATTTCTAGGTCCTTGAGGAATCGCCACACTGTCTTCCACAATGGTTGAACTAATTTACACTCCCACCAAGAGTGTAAAAGTGTTCCTATATCTCCACATCCTCTCTAGCATCTGTTCTCTCCAGATTTTTTAATGATTGCCATTCTAACTGGTGTGAGATGGTATCTCAATGTAGTTTTGATTTGCATTTTTCTGATGACCAGTGATGATGAGCATTTTTTCATATGTTTATTAGCCTCATGTATGTCTTCTTTTGTAAAGTGTCTGTTCATATCCTTTGCCCACTTTTGAATGGGCTTGTTTGTTTTTTTCTTGTAAATCTGTTTTAGTTCTTTCTAAATTCTGGACATCAGCCCTTTATCAGATGGGTAAACTGCAAAAATTTTTTCCCATGCTGTTGGTTGCTGGTTCACTCTAATGACTGTTTCTTTTGCTGTGCAGAAGCTGTGGAGTTTGACTAGGTCCCATTTGTCTATTTTGGCTTTGTTGTCAATGCTTTTGCTGTTTTGGTCATGAAGTCCTTGCCTACGCCTATGTCCTGAATGGTTTTGCCTAGATTTTCTTCTAGGATTTTTATGCTGTTAGGTCTTATGTTTAAGTCTTTAATCCATGTGGAGTTAATTTTAGTGTAAGGTGTCAGGAAGGGGTCCAGTTTCTGCTTTCTGCACATGGCTAGCCAGTTTTCCCACCACCATTTATTTAACAGGGAATCATTTCCCCATTGCTTGTTTTTGTCTGGTTTGCCAAAGATCAGATGGTTGTAGATATGTTGTGTTGCCTCCGAGACCTCTGTTCTGTTCCATTGGTCTATATCTCTGTTTTGGTACCAGTACCATGCTGTTTTGATTACTGTAGCCTTGTAGCATAGTTTGAAGCCTGGTAGTGTGATGCCTCCTGCTTTGTTCTTTTTGCTTAGAATTGACTTGGCTATGCGGGCTCTCTTTTAGTTCCATATGAAGTTTAAGGTGGTTTTTTCCAGTTTTGTGAAGAAGGTCATTGGTAGCTTGATGGGGATTGCGTTGAATCTGTAAATTACTTTGGGCAGTATGGCCATTTTCACGATGTAGATTCTTCCTAACCCTGAACATGGAATGTTTCTCCATCTGTTTGTGTCCTCTCTTATTTCGTTGAGCAGTGGATTGTAGTTCTCCTTGAAGAAGTCCTTTACGTTCCTTGTTAGTTGTATTCCTAGGTATTTTATTCTCTTTGTGGCAATTGTGAATGGAAGTTCGTTCTTGATTTGGCTCTCTTTAAGTCTGTTATTGGTGTATAGGAATGCATGTGATTTTTGCACATTGATTTTGTATCCTGAGGCTTTGCTGAAATTGCTTATCAGTTTCAGGAGATTCTGGGCTGAGATGATGGGTCTTCTAGATATACAATCAGGTCGTCTGCAAATAGGGACAATTTGACTTCCTCCTTTCCTATTTGAATACCCTTTATTTCTTTTTCTTGCCTGATTGCTCTGGCTAGAACTTCCAGTACTATAGTGAATAGGAGTGGTGAGAGAGGGCATCCTCGTCTAGTGCCAGATTTCAAGGGGAATGCTTCCAGTTTTTGCCCATTCAGTATGATATTGGCTGTTGGTTTGTCGTAAATAGCTTTTATTATTTTGAGATACATTCCATCAATACCTAGCTTATTGAGGGTTTTTAGCATAAAGGGCTGTTGAATTTTGTCAAAGGCCTTCTGTGCATCAATTGAGATAATCATGTGGTTTTTGTCTTTGGTTCTGTTTATGTGGTGAATTACGTTTATAGACTTGCGTATGTTGAACCAGCCTTGCATCCCCGGGATGAAGCCTACTTGATCATGGTGGATAAGCTTTTTGATGTGCTGTTGTAGTCAGTTTGCCAGTATTTTATTGAAGATTTTTGCATCTATGTTCATCATGGATATTGGCCTGAAGTTTTCTTTTCTTGTTGGGTTTTGGAATCAGGATGATGTTGGTGTCATAAAATGATTTGGGAAGAATTCCCTCTTTTTGTATTGTTGGAATAGTTTCAGAAGGAATGGTATCAGCTCTTCTTTGTATGTCTGGTAGAATTCAGCTGTGAACCCGTCTGGAACTGGGCTTTTTTTGGGTGGTAAGCTCTTAATTGCTGCCTCAACCTCAAACCTTGTTATGGGTCTGTTCAGGGTTTCGGCTTCTTCCTGGTTTAGGCTTGGGAGGAGGCAAGTGTCCAGGAATGTATCCATTTCTTCCAGGTTTGCTAGTTTATGTGCATAGAGTTGTTTTTAATAATCTCTGATGATAGTTTGAATTTCTGTGGACTCTGTGGTGATATCCCTTTTATCATTTTTTATTGCATCAATTTGGTTATTCTTTCTTTTCTTTTTTATTGGCTAGTGGTCTGTCTATTTTGTCGATCTTTTCAAAAAACCAGCTCCTGGAATTATTGATTTTTTGAAGGGTTTTTTGTGTCTCTATCTCCTTCAGTTCTGCTCTGATCTTAGCTATTTCTTGTCTTCTGCTAGGTTTTGAGTTTTTTTGATCTTGCTCCTCTAGCTCTTTCAATTTTGACGATAGGGTGTCATTTTTTGATCTCTCTCCTTGCTTCTCATGTGGGCACTTATTGCTATATATTTTCCTCTAGAGACTGCTTTAAATGTGTCCCAGAGATTCTGGTATGCTGTGTGTTCATTCTCGTTGGTTTTGAAGAACATCTTTATTTCTGCCTTCATTTCATTGTTTATCCAGTCAACATTCAAGAGCAAGTTGTTCAGTTTCCATGAAGCTGTGTGGTTCTGGGTTAGTTTTTGAATTCTGAGTTCTAACTTGATTGCACTGTGGTCTGAGAGACCGTTTGTTATGATTTCCGTTCTTTTGCTTTTGCTGAGGACTGATTTACTCCCAATTATGTGGTCAATTTTAGAGTAGGTGTGATGTGGTGCTGAGAAGAATGTATATTCTGTGGTTTTGGGGTGGAGAGTTCTGTAAATGTCTATTAGGTTTGCTTGGTCCAGGTCTGAGTTCAAGTCCTGTATATCCTTGTTAATTTTCTGTCTGGTTGATCTGTCTAAGATTGACAATGGGGTGTTAAAGTCTCCCACTATTATTGTGTGGGAATCCAAGTCTCTTTGTAAGTCATTAAGAACTTGCCTTATGTATCTGGGTGCTCCTGTATTGGGTGCGTATATATTTAGGATTTAGCTCTTCTTGTTGCATCGATCCTTTTACCATTATGTAATGTCCTTCTTTGTCTCTTTTGATCTTTGTTGCTTTAAATTCTAATTTATCAGAGATGAGAATTGCAACTCCTGCTTTTTTTTTTTTTTTGCTCTCCATTTCCTTGGTAAATCTTCCTCCATCCCTTTATTTTGAGCCTTTGTGTATCCTTGCATGTGAGATGTGTTTCCTGGATACAGCACACTGCTGGGTTTTGGCTTTTTATCCAATTTGTCAGTCTGTGTCTTTTGATTGGGGCATTTAGTCCATTTACATTTAGAGTTAATATTGTTATGTGTGAATTTGATACTGCCATTTTGGTGCTAGCTGGCTGTTTTGCCCATTAGTTGATGCAGATTCTTCATTGTGTTGATTCTCTTTTTACCATTTGGCATGTTTTTGGAGTGGGTGGTACTGGTTGTTCCTTTATATGTGTAGAGCCTCTTTCAGGAGCTCTTGTAAAGCAGGCCTGGTGGTGACAAAATCTCTGAGTACTTGCCTGTTCACAAAGGATTTTATTTTTCATTCACTTATGAAGCTTAGTTTGGCTGGATAGGAGATTCTGGGTTGGAAGTTCTTTTCTTTAAGGATGTTAAATATTGGCCCCCACTCTCTTCTGGCTTGTAGGGTTTCTGCTGAGAGATCTGCTGTGAGTCTGATGGGCTTCCCTTTGTGGGTAACCTGACCTTTCTGTCTGGCTGCCCTTAGCATCTTCTCCTTCATTTCAACCCTGGTGAATCTGACAATTATGTGCCTTGGGGTTGCTCTTCTTGAGGAATATCTTTGTGGTGTTCTCTGTATTTCCTGGACTTGAATATTGGCCTGCCTTGTTAGGTTGGGGAAGTTTTCCTGGATAATATCCTGAAGAGTATTTTCCAGCTTGGATTCATTCTCTTCGTCACATTCAGGTACACCTATCAAACGTAGATTAGGTCTTTTCACATAGTCCCACATTTCTTGGAGACTTTGTTTATTCATTTTTATCCTTTTTTCTCTATTCTTGCCTTCCTGTTTTATTTCATTGAGTTGATCTTCAACCTCTGATATCCTTTCTTCTGCTTGGTCAATTCGGTTGTTGAAACTTGTGCATGCTTCACGAAGTTGTCGTGTTGTGTTTTTCAGCTCCATCAATTCACTTATATTCCTTTCTATTTTGTCCATTCTCGTTAGTATTTTGTCAAATCTTTTTTCAAGGTTCTTAGTTTCTTTGCATTGGGTTAGAACATATTCTTTAAGTTCACAGAAGTTTCTTACTACCCACCTTCTGAAGTCTGATTCTGTCATTTCATCACACTCATTCTCCATCCAACCTTGTTCCCTTGCTGGTGTGGAGTTGTGATCCCTTTTAGGAGGAGAGGTGTTCTGGTTTTGGGTGTTTTCATCCTTTTTACTCTGGTTTCTTCCCATCTTTATGGATTTATCCACCTGTCATCTTTGTAGTTGCTGGCTTTCAGATTGGGTCTCTGAGTGGACGTTCTGTTTGTTGATGATAAGGTTATTTCTGTTTCTTAGTTTTCTTTCCAACAGTCTGGCCCCTCTGCTGTAGATCTGCTGAGGTGCACTCAATCTGGGTTCATAGCCAAGTCGCCTCTGCACTGCGTGGGATGCTATCTCCGAGGTCCACAGGGAGAAAGCAGGCCGGCACCAGCCCCCTCGTTGCCTCCAGGCACGATCTCCTAAGTGCAACTTTATAAGTGCCTATATATATTTAAAAAACAACAACAACAACAAAAAACTTAACCAAACAATGCGTCTTAAGGAAGTAGAAAATCAGAGAGGATTAAAATGAAAATTAGTAAAAGAAAATAAGAAAGATCAAAGCAGGAATAAATTAAATTGAAATGAGGAAAATGAGACAGAAAATCAACAAAACAAAAATTTAGTTATTTGAAAAGATAAACAAAATGGAAAAACCTTTATTTAAAATAATTTAGAAAAAAAGGGACAAGACCCAAATAAATAAAGTCAGAGATGAAAAAGGAGTCATTACAACTGATAACAAAGAAATGTAAAGAATCGTTAGTGGCTACTATAAGCAACTATGTGGCAATAAATTGGAAAATCTAGAAGAAAGGGATAATTTTCTACAAACAGAATGCACCAGGGTTGAACCATGAAGAAATTTAAAACCTGAACAAACCATTAACAAGTAATGAGATTGAAGCTGTAATAAAAAGTTTCCCAGCAAAGAAAAGCTCAGGACCTGATGACTCTACTGCTGGTTTTTTCCATATATTTAAAGAAGAACTAATACCAATCCTACTGAAACTATTCTGAAAAATAGAGGTGGAAGGAATACTTCTAAACTAATTCTATGATGTCATTGTTACTCTGTTTCCAAAACCAAAGACGCATTAAAAAAGAGAGAGAGGGAGAGAAAGAGAAAGAGAGAGAGAGAGAGAGAGAGGAGAGAGAAAACTATAGGCTTATATTCCTGGTGAACATAAAGACCATATACAACAGACCTACAGCCAGTATCATGCTGAAAGGGGAAACTGAAAGTCTTTTCTCTAAGATCTGGAACACAACAAGAATGCCCACATTCACTACTGTTATTCAACATATTGCTAGAAGTCTTCACTAGAGCAATTGGACAAGAGAAAGAAATAAAGGGCATCTAAAATGGGAAAGAAGTCAAATTTATCCTTGTTTTCATATGATATGATGTTATATGTGGAAAAACCTAAAGACTCCACCAAAAAACTATTAGAACTGATAAACTAAATTCAGTTTAGTTGCAGTTTAAAAAATCAACATACAAAAATTACTAACGTTGGTTCCCGCGAGTGGCCTCGCGCCCAGACTGTGCGGGGGGCTGTTCGGGTGGAGGCGGGGGAGCAGCAGGGACACCAAAATAGGAGCTGCTTGTGGGCTGGAGCCGCACTAGCTGGCGGCCTGGGCACGCCTCTTCCAAAGATGGTCAGAGGGGCCAGAGGCGCCCCAGCTCCGGCTCGCTGCTAGCCCGCTGGCCAGCACAGCGTCCCAAGCCCCGGCAGGAGGTGTGGGAAATGCTACTGCCTGTGTCTTACATGATGTTATCTACGTCATTGGTGGCCACTGTGGCTACAGAGGAAGCTGTACCTATGACAAGGTTCAGAGCTACAATTCCGATATCAACGAATGGAGCCTCATCACCTCCAGTCCACATCCAGAATATGGATTGTGCTCAGTTCCGTTTGAAAATAAGCTCTATCTAGTCGGTGGACACACTGCAATCACAGAATGTTATGATCCTGAACAAAATGAATGGAGAGAGATAGCTCCCATGATGGAAAGGAGGATGGAGTGTGGTGCTGTCATCATGAATGGATGTATTTATGTCACTGGAGGATACTCCTACTCAAAGGGAACATATCTTCAGAGCATTGACAAGTATGATCCAGATCTTAATAAGTGGGAAATAGTGGGTAATCTTCCCAGTGCCATGCAGTCTCATGGGTGCGTTTGTGTGTATAATGTCTGATTGAATCTGTAGAAATGACCAAGCAATCACTGTTTTGGAGTATAGTTAAAAAAGAATGCAGGGTTTGAAGTTCCTTACCTGATATCGTGTCTGGCACATGATAAGGGATCAGTAAATTGTAATTCCTAACCCTACTCTACTCCCAGATGCAATGATTCATGGTTAAGATCTTAAGTATATACACAGTTGAATTAATGGGATTTTTACCTATAATCTCTGCTGTTCAAAGGTAATATGGAATATTTGACACTTGGTAAAAGGTGAACTACCTTTGCAGTGAATCCTTTCCTCTTGGTAGCATCAACACTGGGGATAGATCAGAATCATTCTGTGGAATGAAATGTCTCTCAAGAGCCTATAATATAGTAGATAGCATTATTAAGATGCCTGGCTGGGTATGGTGGCTTATTCCTGTAATCCCAGCACTTTGGGAGGCTGAGGCAGGAGGATCGCTTGAGCCCAGGAGTTGGAGATCAGGCTGGTGAGACCCTGTCTCAAAAAAAAAAAAAAAAAAAAAAAAAAAAAAAAAAAAAAATCCAATAGCTAACAGGGATTTGAAATTTAAAGAGGGAATCTTCTCTACCTCTACAAAATCAACACCTAACACTTTTTTCACCTTTAGAATTATTTAGAATGTGGATTTACTTTGTCTAGTTTTTTCCTTTATAGTATAATTTATTGTTATTATTGTCTATTTACTGACTACCAGAGATATACAAAATACTGTGCAAAAGATTGTTACTGTTCAGAGAGTTTACAAATGAAATTTAAAAGAACGGCAAGTCTGAAAAATCGATGAGAAGATAGTGAAATATTTGTTTATGCTAAGAGCTGTTTTTAATTTTCAGCTTTGATGTAAATTGCTAGTTTAGGTGTCTTTAGTTCAAGCATGTTAGGAAATCCTCTTTATTCTTAAATATAGATACACATCTGCACATATGATTGAATTTTAGTGCCAGAAAGCATGTAGAGCAGTTGTGATTAGTAGAAAATACATTGATAAGAAGATATTTGCATTTATTTCCCAGCGCTGCCACTAACTAGGTTATGTGACTTGAGTTTAAATCATTTAATGTCTCCTTGATGAGAACTTCCTGAGCCATGCACACTGGCACTGCAGATCACAGATATGCCTAGATACGGATCCCCTCACCCCTTGCTACACTCAGAGGTGTCCTGAGTGGCTGGAGCCGCTGGCCAGAACCACCTTTGTTCATTTTCTTCAGTGTGCCTACAGGATCACTTTCCATGTGTGCCATAACTTGGGAATAGTTGGGATGTGTTGCTTAACTCCTTTAAACCATTAGTTATCTGTGAGACCATCTATTCCACACTCTTCATTTTTTAAAAAGAGACAATAATTATTTTTAACTTTACTGAAGTTTAAAACTACCTAGCATTTTTGATTTAAAAAAAATTTAGAAGGAAATTTTTAGTGCATTTATTTCAGATGGTATTTTAAATAGATACAACCCTTTGGAAACACAGTATGGTACTACATAGCAAGGGCCGTACAAATGACCATATCCTTTGCCCTATAAATTCTGCTTCTATACTTTTAACCTTAAAAATAATTCAGAAAAAAAGATAAATGCATGAAGATGTTTATGTCTGCATTCTTTATAATAACAAAAATTGGGAAAAACTTCTCCATGTCAAAGAAGAAAGTAGGATAATAAAAATAGTGAAATATTATACTGCCATTAAAATAATTATTTGGAAGACTGTGGACATGTTTGTGATATGGTAAGTAAAATGATCACAGTAGAAAATAGTATGCATACTATGGTTGTGACTTTGTAAAATCTTTATGCATGTGGAAGGTAATATGCAAAACAAATTCATTGTGTTAGTATAGCAGGATATGGAATGACTTTATTTATTTAAATCTTTTCTTTAATATTACTTTGCATTTTCAATAAAAATAAACCACTATACTTAGTAAGACTAAAAACAAAACAAAACAAAACAAAAAAAACAAAAATTACTAACATTTCTATATGCGAATAGTGAGTAATCTGAAAAAAAATCAAGTAAGTAATCTGATTTACAATAGTTGTAAATAAAATTAAATACCTAGGAATTAGCCAAAGAAGGGAAGGATTTCTACAATGAAAAGTATAAAACATTGATAAAAGAAATGGAAGAGGACACAATTAAATGGAAAGATGTTTCATTTTCATGAATTAAAAGAATCAGTATTGTTAAAATGTCCATCCTACCCAAAGCAATCTACATATTCAATACAATTTCTATCAAAAATACTAATGACATTCTTTATAAAAATAGAAAAAATGTTATAAAATTTATATGGGACTACAAAAAACTCACAATAGCTAAAGCTACACTAAGCAAAAAACCCCAAAACTTGAGGAATCACTTTACCTGAATTCAAATTATACTACAGAGTTATAGTAACCAAAACATGGTAGCAGAATAAAAATTGTCACATGGAACTTTGGAGCAGATTAGAGAACCCAGAAATAAATCTATGATGAACTTTTATTTGTTGACAGTGATGCCAAGAACATGTGCTAGTGAAAGGACAGTCTCTTCAGTAAATGGTGCTTGGAAAACTGGATATCTATATTTAGGAGGAAGAAAACTGGACACTTATTTTTTGCCATATAAAAAATCAGGCTGAATGTTGTTTCTTAGGCCTATAATCCCAGTACTTAGGTAGCCAGAGGCTGGAGGATAGTTTGAGCTCAGGAGTTCAAGAGCTAGCTCGGTAACAAAGGAAGACCCTGATCTCCACAAAAAGAAAAAAAAAAAAAGAAGAAGAAAAGTTAGAATAAAAAGCAAATCAAATTTTATTAAATCCTTAAATCTAAGACTTCAAACTATGAAACCACTAAAAGAAATTATTGGAAAAACTCCCCAGGACAGTGGATTGAGCAAAT